TTGTTTAATACAGCATCTATAATATAACTCGAGAAATAATTTACAGCAAATGAGTGATAATACAAACGATACGGATGTTTGCGCGGCGAGTGCTCGAAGGATAATAACAAAGTGTTTATATATACATGTGTCATTATGTTGTTGGGGAACTGTTGTTAATTTTAAATGTAACTGAACACACAAGAAGCTACATGTATCCCTTTTTCAAGTAAAATATCCCAAATAAATTTGAAGCAAACGGAAGAAGAGAAATATTTTCTACCTGAACACTTGATAAATCTTTTATCATTTTGCTTTGTAATAATTATTAAGAAATGAAGAAATAAATTTGGCGATTTACTATGCCAAAAGTAATACGACGAATTCTGCACACAAAGCCTCGTTCAAGATATCACGAATTTGCCCACTAGTTTTTGACAATGGTACCTAATGCGTGATCTTGGAGACGTTTAATCCAACATTTCTCATAGCTCGCAATTTCTAAGATATTATGAAATAATTTTAGTCATCTTGCATGAGACCTTAGTTTCTGTCTCTTTATTTGCTAGCCTAAATATCGCAAAATCTGTAAAATGGTAAACGATTTTTTCTTCTTCAGTTTACTGCATTCGACATCCACTGTAGCATCGTGTGATTTACCGTCACACATCTTATATAATAAGAATTTAAAAATATTTCATGAACGTTCAATTGTCGCGCTTACGATTGCACTAATACTTTGTCGACGCAAAGCAGTATGAAAAGTATTAAAAAAGTGTAATGTCTATTAAAAAGTTACATGATGAAGTTTATTCGTATTGACAATTTAATTTGTATTCTGTTCATAATAATGCAATTCAAGCTATAATACGATTGTTTATATAAACAGGTACTCGGCCCGCCAGCTAACAATTAAATCTCGGTAAATAATTAAATGATCATTACGAAAATATGTTTTACCTGTATCTAAATTTCTGTGTGGCGCAAGACCACGGAAAGGATTTTTTTTATTAAATATAGGTATTATCTCTGGATTCAGAATTTCTTTTATCATAATAATATTATTTTGGTTGACCTGTTCTGTTGAAGAGGCTAAAAATAACGGACAGGATCTAGACTGCATTATTTTTATAGATTCTGACCAAGACTCCGCCGCGTTAAATTTCGCCTCGAAACCTACAATCACAGTTGGTTTTTTATATTCCGCATCTGATTTTACATAATCATGATACAACTTGGGAATTGGAATGAAGATAAGTTCTTTTTTCTGCGCAGTGCAAAGCTCGCAAAGTTGTTCTCTACGTGCATAAGGCTCGTCACTTAATTCTTTTCCTATCATAACAATGACTAATTTGTACATTTCAGGCACAAGGTGTAACAAAACTTCCCAGGCTAGTAAACTATCCGTATGTACGGAGGTTGCGGCTATAATATGAATGACAACAATTTCCTCCTCTATAATATGTAATGATAATATTTCCTTAAACCCAAAATAGACTGTCAGTGGTCCTGAAAGGTAATCAGATTGTATGTAATCTATAACAAGCCAATCCACTTCATCTATCGATTTTTGTTTGTGCTTTCTAAAAAAGTGAAGCATCTCTCTAATATGTTCCCTCCCCTTAATAGACGAAAAAAAATTGTATGACATATCAGTAGTTTCGCTAAAGGCAATTTCGATATCTATATTGACTAGCAATATCCATGCCTCGCATTTGGTCTTACTATGTGACAAATGAAAAACGAACTCATGTTGATCGCAATAATTAATGGAAAAGCATCTTTGGCAAGTGTTCAGATTAGCTTGTTGGAAACACACAAAACACGATTTGGACCACAATATCATCTGCTGCTCGTAAGTCTTCAATGGACGGTCAATATTCTCTTCGACTAATTCCACCAATTCTTTTCTGGATTGAATCCAGTCGTGCCTTCCTTCAAACTTGCGCGTGTCTTCTTCTTCTTCTTCTTCTTCTTGTAGTTTTAAAATCCGTGCAATAATTGCGCAGATTTCCGCGTGCTCGAATTGATGCTGCGTTTTATGCCCTTCATTGCAGTAAGAGATCAAGCCGCACTCATCGCATAATGTGAAATTGTCACCATCTACCGTTTTGCAAACATGACAAATGTTTGGATTGAAAAACTGGTTATAATGTGTAGCCGTGCGTTGTCTATGGTATTTAAACATTTCTTTATTTATATTATCCATTCTGATATGCCTATTAAATGAAATTGTTTAATACTGTATCTATAAAATAATTTGCAATATTCGGCACATGACTGACAATAACGAGATTCCTTGTATATAATTTCTCAGTATGGATATTCATACAGCGACTGCTAGAAGGACAGTAACAAAGTGTTTATATACATCTTGATATTGTTGGGGAACTACTACTGTTAATTTTAAATGTAACTAAAGACATAAAATGTCACGTGTATATTGTTCGAAGCAGAATTATCCCAAATTAATTTTAAACAAACAAAGAAAGATACGCATGTAACGGTATAAAACAAGTATACTTATGAATAAATAAAAAAACATTAAAAGCCTTATATTAAAAAAATTAATTAAATCATTAAGTCTTCTGTCAGGGAAAACCGTTATGGAATTACTTGACCATTATTACTGAGAAAAAATATTTCGAACCTGGACACAATAAATTTAAAGAAAAAGACGTTTAACGACTCATGATCGCGAGATTCCTGAGCCGGAGGCAACTGAATGCTAAGCAATTATGACGCGATAGTTCACGCGATGCGTCGTACAGACGCGAGTCACACAACAGGATTTTACAAGTCGTGTACCAGACATGCTCTTCCAGAAATCGAGCATCGAGCGTCGAGTCGTTAGATGTCAGACACCCTGTAGAAGGAACATTAATGTGCGATTAACACGAGTACAGATCGCGAGCGAGGTGAGCGTTCCGCGTGGCTCGTTATGGGATCATGGGGTTGCAGCGGCGTGACGCGGGGTGAATTTCTTGCTTCACGATGGCATCCCAACGACGTGCCGAGTGATTCCGGCGTGGACGCGTGGCGTCGTGGTTCGCTGCCACGCAGTCGACGCGTTCACCCGTCCATTCGAAAATATATGTATAGAGATCACAGGCCGCCGTTCGTCGTCTCTGACTGGCGCTAAAATTAAGCGGCATTGCTCGGGCTTCGGCTGGTTCACCAAAAAGACGAACGCGAATTCGGATCTGCGAGGGAGAGAGAAAGGAGTCCTCCTCTGCTCTAGAGAAAGGCGTGCCGTGGATAAACAACACACTTCGCGACTTTCATTCTTTTGATTACTTGCAGAGATCTCGCATGTAACGTGCGAAGAAAAGTGATACAACTGGAAAGCTCGCGATATTCGCGATTAATATCGCGAGGAGGCACGCGAGGAGAGAAATGATGCGTTTGGGTCTTCGTGATGAAGACAAAGACAGCTGTCGGTAACTGTGTGTGTACCAAGCGGCAGAATGAAATATCTATGATCAAAAAACTATATGAAAACAGAGCGTAACTCCCTTTGTCATGCGGCGTGCCTTAGATAAACAATCGGGAGAAGAATCAGCGTCCGGCGATTTCGCCGGAAGTTAGACGACGTTGCCGGCAAGTGGAGAGAAGCGGGGCATTCTCGAGAGTCGCGATTGAGGCGGCGAAGGAAAATAACCGGAGTTTAACGGACTCTTTGAAGACCGAGATTGGAAACGTCTCCCCTTCACGACTTTACAGTAGCTCTGGGGGGTATCGCAGGAGCGTAGGGGAGGGCCGGGGGGTTGGAGATAAAAAAGGTAAAATGGTGCGGCATTAGCGGACTTGGGTCCGCTAGCTCCTATTTAGTCGTTAATGAAACAGAGACGATCGACGACGGAGCCGTCGTAAAGATCGCCCGTTCTATTTATCGACGAGCCGTTGATAGCGTTAACGCGCGCGACGCGGCCGAACACCGCGTCCCATTTTCGCAGGCTGTTTTCCCGAGACCCGTATCGAGTCGTCAGAGAAGCGCGCTTGCCGCAAATTTGATTCTACCGCGCAACATCGATCGCTCGTTCGGTGTCGAGCGTTATTTACAACGGCCGTAAAAGTAACCGTTATACAGACGACCCCTATTATCGGGCCGGGATAAAATCTCCGGATAACCGAGCGTCGAATTATAAGATCCCGTTAAATGCGCGGATCTAATTCGACCGTGAGTCTGTAGAACGTCCTCCGTTCGTGGACGAATTCGTTAGTTATGCGACGCTCGGCTTTTTCCCGAGCGACGAGGAGGCGAGTCTTCGTGAAACGGCCGCTATGGAATTCCGCGATAAATTGATGTGGATTCTACGAACAGTTGGATTCTAATAGCGCTCCGTTAGGGGCGTTTTCCTAGTCCGCGTTCTCTCCTCGACGAAACGACGCCGCTCGCAGTGCCAAAAGAAGAGTCGGGTCTCCCGGCTGTCTCGGAGACTCCTCCGGCCATTCTCCCTGCGCCCGCCGACGAAAGAGTCTATAATTCTACGGCGCTTCGACGGAATCCCCGAAAGAAAGAGCCACGCACGCCGGAGGACTTGAGCCTGATCTACGGCTCTCGTTACTTCGTCGCTTCGTGGGCTGCCTCCGACGTCGAGGAAACCATCTCTTACGTACCCACCTACCTAGCTACCTAGCTACCTATCCACCTACGATCTATGATCGTACTCTGCGTCGGTTGCATAACGATAAGATTTCGCGCACGTTGCACACGTGCCGGAAAAGCCTTTGTTCCGTCTCCATTTCGCGCCAGCGTAATCCCTTTGACGTTGTCACGTGCTAGCGTTTAAATCTCGAACCGGCTTGCGCCGATCTTGGCGTGAAGCTCTCTCATGGGAGCCTCGCTTATTTCGATCCCCTTATTATATTATTATTGATTTATGCAAGATTTTAATGAGCGTCAGTAATATCGTAGCGATTAGAAGAATCTCCCCTCCCTCCCCCCCTCTCTCTCTCTCTCTCTCTCTCTCTCTCTCTCTCTCTCTCTCTCTCTTTCTCCCTCTTTCTTGCCGCTCAAAACACATGCTTTGCAAATGTTGCTAGAATATGTTGGATCGTCGGAGATATTTGTCTTTGCGTGTTCTGTATATTACGAGTTTTATTGTGTACACAAAGTCGTCTCGATTTGCAAACGTGACGAATGTTTTTCTTCGGATAGAAAAAGCTAGCTAGAGAACTGATGAAGTGTTCGTAGTCCGCAATGTTTAAACACTCTGATTATACCAACATGCCTGTGCGATTGATGTTTGCGAATTAAAGTTTTAGAAATGATCTACAACTATTATTTTATCTATATCATTTACGAAATAATGTACAAAAACTCAATATTTCAGAAAAGGTAACGAAATTCTATATTCGTTGTATGTATGCCATCTCATCGAATATTTGAGCGAGACACTTTTCAAGTGTTTACAAACGTCTCCTCGTGCCTTGGGTATTGTTGACAATTTCAATTGTGACTCTGGACGTAACGAACTACAAATATCCGTTATATCAAGTCAATAATGTCGCGAAATATATAACAAAAGACATTCGATATCGTATATTTATAAAAGTTTTTACTAATATTTATTATCGGTTTAAATTTGTCGGAATGTTCATGGTACACAAATTTGACACAATAATTGTAGGAAATAAAAATACAATAAATCCACACACACACACACACACACACACACACACACACACACACACACACATACACACACATTTAAATTTGTATGCTTTATTAGAACATATATTATTTATTCGTATAATAATAACTTATATAAGCAACTTATTTTTCAAATTACTTACAATAATATTCACAAGTGATGACAAAATCGCACACGAGAGTTACTTTTATCTCTGTGCGCAATTAGCCGACTAAGATTCTTTAAAGCAAATTTTTTAAGATTAACATATACTCATTACGAAAGAACAGATTATTAGTATCAAAATCTCTGTATGGTCTAAGAGCACAGTATTCATTTAAATCGGAAAAAGTAGCATTTAAGTCCTTTTCTGTTTTTTTGAGAACCTCATATATCTCTGACATGTTCTCATTCATTTCAATTTGCGATTTAGCGGTTAAAAGTAACGGGCATCTCTGAGTCTGTAATGCTAATAAACATCTCGACCATGTCCCCGTCTTAAAATCTGGCTGAAAACCTGCGATTATATTTGGTTTTTTATATTCTAAACTAGATACATATTCGTAGTACGAAATAGGATATGATTCAAAAATAAGCTTCTGCTTATACTTTTTACATTTAACACAGACATTGTATTCACCAAATTCGGACTGCAATTCTGGCCCTATCATTATTATTATAAGTGTTTCCACGGTTTTTTCGAGGTAATGTAACAACAATTCCCAAGCTGGCAAACTCTTTCTGTCGACGATATTTGCGGCTATAATATGAATGATACAGGTATATGCAGGCCTTTCAAATATTAGTTTATCAAGGTGTAAATTTGCCTTCTTCATCCCATTATAGATTGTCAGTGGTCCTGATATATAATCAGAAGAGATATAATCTTCATGAGTCCAACTGCGATTTCTTCTATCTACTTTTAGTATATATTGCGCGAAAAACGACAACATGTTGTCGAAAGGTTTCTGGTCATCAGGAAAATTCAGAAACTTCTGCATTATATCTTCATCAAATGAGAAATTAATATCCGCGATGTCTAAGTTGAGACTCAAAGCGAGTTGTTTACAGTTGTTGATGTAATGATACTCATGATATTCTTTAACGTGATCAACGCAATAGTTGACGGAATAACACCCAGTGCAACACAACAGATCAATCTGTTTCTGACAAGTAAAACATGATTTCGCGCACATGAACATTTGCACTTCGTATGGCAGTAGTTCACGCTGTAAATGGACCTTCACCAAATTCAATAATTTCTTCTTTGATTCGATCCAATCTTTCAGTGGAATAGAACGGGTAAACCATTCTGGATTTGCGTTTAATGATTTCACTATAATTTTACAAATGTCCTCGTGCTCCCTTGCGTGCAACTTTTTATGTTCCTCGCTGCAGTACGAAATCATGTAACACTTATTACACATTTTGACAATGCCATTGAATTTGCAAACGTGGCAAATGTTCGGATGGAAAAACTTATTATAGTATATAGATGAAATTTTCCCACGATATGTATTCACCATTTGAATTTGCGCCATATTGATATACCTGCGTAAAAGAATTTACGAGTATTTTATTTGTAATATCAACGTTTTTGGAGAAATGCTCACATTTCAGCACCGTAATGAATATGACAAAAATCAACATACCTGGTATAAGTGTTCACTCGGCAATTGTTCGGAGAGCACTACTCAGGTGTTGGCAAAGTGTTTCTGGGTGTTTAGGAAATTGTTGACATTTCGAATTGTAATTTGAGATAAGACCAACTATCAATATTATACCAAGTACATACAATGTCATACGGATAAACTTGAAACATATGTTATGTAAGGCACACGTATCACGTGAATGTTTATGCTGATATTTATTATTAGCTAAAATTTATGGAAATAATCATGATAGACAAATTTTACAATTTGTCATAATATGTAAAAATGAATTTATATCATATAATATAGCATCAAGAGTCCATATATGTGATCAGTACCGAAATATTCTCTAATCAAGAATTTATCTTCCTTACGTTTTTGATATTACATATTGTTGACCTGCATTTATTGACTTGCGTATTGTTTGTGGAATATAAGCACGTCGTGAAAAGAGGCCTTCTTTCATCGAGAAAATTAGTAAATTCCAGCGCTAATATGACCGCGAGGCCGATGGCCGATTTTAATGTCGGGAGCGATTCAGTTTCGAGATACGTCGTTTCATAGTTTTATCAGCCAGTATGTAACCTCTCCTCGTCTATTTACGACGTCGTGAAAAACCGACAGCTGTTGAACGAGTTTTTATTTCTCGATCATCGAACATCGCGATTTATCGTTGCGTTTTAAAGTCATCGCGTCGCTCGTCATCGACGAATCTATCGACGCGCTTCGAAAGCGCTCGCTCGCTCACTCGCGCATGCCAGCGCGGTCGGTGAGAACGCGTTTTCTGTATGCCCATTCAGTGAATTTTGTAAGCAACAAATGGGACATATTTGCTATTTACGTGACGTTCGTGGGCCACGAGCGAATATAAATGGTTAAACTGCAATCGGTGATTCGTCCGGCCCCTCGGCGACTCGACGAAAAAGTGCTCGGCGAAAATTGAATAATCGAGTCACTCGTCAACGGGCGCGGTTGTGTCAATGAATTTTGCATGCGGTCCTTTTGAAAGTATAATGTTATTGTGTAATCCAATATTTTGTGGTAGACGATGTTTTCGCGAGCGTGCACAACGCGCCGCTGACAAATAACAGTTACATTCAAGCAGTTTTCGCGTACAAGGAAGCAGGTGCAAATTTTTGCTATTTTTATTCAAAAGTTGATTCACTAGGAAAATTCGCCTTGTTACGGGTGCATATTCATGTGAAAATTAGTATTATATAGTCAAATGGAAGATTTGAATACGTGAATGTAACAAACCAATTATATTTTATATTTATAATCCACATTGATTTGCGTAGAGTGGATTGTGAGCGATACTCGTTGTTGGTCATTATTTCATGAATCTCAGATCAATTATTGGCAATCTCAATTCTTTTGTGTTTGCTGGGGCGATAAATTAAATTTGAGCTGAATTTCCACAGAACAGAGACCATACACGTAATAACTCGGGGAGGATCGGCAAAGCAATAATTATCAATGCCGAATTCTCTCGGCCAATGATATTAAATCAATGTTACATGGCGCTAAATTAGATCGGCATTAACGTGACAAGCTCGCCATTTTTTAGCGAGCCCGATCACGGCTTCTCTCGTTCGTCACTGTCGGCCAGCGAGAACGGACGAAAATCCTAGTGATCCAGATCGAAGTCGGGTCCGGAGGAGGAGGGAAAGAAGAGAACTCGCCATGAGAGGACCGTTGCACTCGCACCATTACTCTCGAGTACTTTGTGACAGCCGATAATTGGACGTGTCCTTTGATCCCCTCGGCGCCCACCCTCATCCGGTAGGATTTCCAGATTTTGCGACGGATTGGTGATAGATCGCTGCCACGCGCCGTGTTTTGTCCAATATATTTTTTGTTCCTTCTTCCTGCTCGAGCGTTATCCCGTTCCTTCTTTTTGGCAGAGACATGACTCCCATCGGACGCGACAAACGGCCGCTTTGCACGCGTCGCTTATGTGGCGAGTCAGCACGATGCTGAATTACGTCTCTATCTCACGGAAATTACACGGTAAATTCGAAGGATTCGACTCCGTTTCAACCTCGTTTTATTGCAAAATGATGCCAAGTATTGAAATGCTTCCGCATAATTAGGAGTTTCCGTCGGGATTTTTCTTATTAGCTCGCAGATGAGAGAAGGAGCCGAGAACACGAGGAGGTGAATTTCTCCGTAACGTACATCATATCGTACAAAACGTACCTCGAGTTACAGTCGACGCCTGGCGATACTTCCCTCCCTCGGAGAGTCCGTGATTTCGTCAACTTGATAATTCCGACTTAATGAGAATTTTATTTCCGCCTGATATCGCGCCGCAATCAATGAAACACCAGCAAACCACGAGGTTTTCCGCGCCGGATCGCTTTGCGCGGATTAAAAGTTAATTCTCTCTCTAATTGGAAATATGATCGGCGGGACATAGGAGGAAGGAGGAAGATGAGGGCAGGCGGAAGAAGGAGGAAGAAAAAAAAGAAGAAGAGTCGTTACCGCCGATAACGAAGTGATCCGCGAATATTGACCCGCCGCGGCTAAGAAAGCGGAGACCGTCTCGTCGCCATGGCTTTTAATCTCTCCGACGTCTACGACGGGGACCTTGCTCGCGTTTCTTTTTTCCGCCGGGTGGAGATTAAAGATCTACTCGATCCAGGCAGAGATTAAGTCCTCGGTCCTCTCGCGGAGGTAGTAGTAAGCTAGAGGTGGCGTTGAGGGGAGGGGGGGGGAGAAGGGAGCAAGGAAAAATTTTCCGGCAATCTTCGCCGGCCAAGAGATCGGTCCGAGTCGTCCTGAATGGTCGCGGGTGGCGAGTACCTCGCAGACTCCGCGGATTTCGAGTCCCGGAGAAAAGGAGTCCCGTTCTTTCCAGCCGAGAGAGATCGAGAGGCTTCGAGAGACGAATGAGGCAACGACGACGCGGCAAGGGTGCACCATTGTCACGTGGATTTCCAATTAAAGAAAGCCGAATGGACAGGCACAGGCGGCAGGGTGATAGATCGAAGGCCGACCCGTCGCGTGAACGCTCTCGTCCTCGTGAAGGCGCCTCATCTTCTCAGACATCAGTTAACATTCGCGTGGTTGGCTCGCGAGCGAGCGAACTGGGAGAGAAAAAGGCGCGACGTGGCCGCGGGGCTTGTCAGGCTTTATAATTGAATCCGGTTGTTGCCGCTGATGGGCAGCCGATTGCTTTCGTTTGGCAAACACTAACTTTTAATTATTTCCTGCCACGTGGGCGACGAGCGGGACGCGTGCGAACGGGAGATTGATTCGGCTAAACAGTTCGCAACAACGAATCCAACGCAACTGGGCCAGGAGACGGCGGCGGTACGTGGGGAGAAAAAACCGAACGCTCGTGTGTCCTGTAGTGTACAGGTTGCGCTAAAAATCACCGTCGATATTCCTGCGAGAAACAACGTTCGGATACAAACATTCCAATTTTATCGCTCGTTCTGAAACTGTCAGTTTCATCCGCAAGTAGACCAATATTTTCTGAGAAAAATATCTCAAACGAATGTCGCGAACGAATAATAAAGAGGATCTTGAGTTTTTGCAGCGGCCATTTTAAGTCGCCAAGATGCGAACTTAACAAGTTCGGACATTGCGATTTGGCGACGCGTCAAGAAGAATCAATAGGAATTTTCGAGAGAGGCAAGCAACTGTCATGTCACTTTTGACACGGTCTATATGTATGTATACGCGGGCACACGAGCGAAAGTAAGAGAGAAAGATGCGGAGAATAGGGAGAAAACGCACGGCCGGGAGAACACGCCGCAACAATGCGCGAGGATTGTTGTCGAACCTAACTGCGCAAACATCGCCACCCGCTGATTGCTTCGATTCGCGCGGGTTTTGCATTCGAAATCGGCGGGCCCGTGGCGGTAAAAGAATTGTGTACGGAGGGCGAATTAATGCGCGAGTCAAGCCTGGGATTGGAAAAACAGAGCGGTTCCTGTGGTCGGTGGTTGCACGTGCTCTCGCGCGTATGTACGAGACGATCGTTTTTCCCCGCGTTTTCATCGTGGTCCAATGTCGCCGTTCAACACGAGAAAGAGAGAGAGAGAGAGAGAGAGAGAGAGGAAGGGAGAGCGAGAGAGTCCTTCGTCGGATTTTGCGAAAATAATTCTTTTGTTCGGTCGAAAATGTCGAAAAATGAGCCAACTTCCCGAGACACCGGCTTCGAAAGGGATGAACGCGCATGTCAGCAAGTTGCGTGTGAGACATGCGAGAGAAGCGCGGACATTAATGCGCATAAAATAGAGAAAGAAAAAAAGCATCACATCGCGACGCGGTGTGATAAATTTGATCAAAAGGACGTAAATTAAATGAAATACACGCGCCCGCACGCGCGGGTGTGCGTATTTTCTACGTACTTCTCTGATATTTATATTTTCACATCACACGTGCTATTCATATTTCCGTTTCATGTTTCATCTCTTTTTCTCACTCAATGTAACACCACCTAATGGCATCTTTGTGATTATTTTCGTAATTAGAATTATCCCCCCACACGTCCCTCGCTACGCTTGATTTTATGTTGCAGCGAGCGATCCGCGACTGGTAATTTAGCGAACTGTCGGGTATTTTATATCCGCCGTATCGGACGATCGACAAAATCGCGGTAACGATCGCGGCAAATCGTTGCGTATACAGAATTTTAAGCCGGAATTCGAACGAACATATCGCCCGACGCGCTCCATAATAGCGTAAACGGTGCGCGCACATATGGGCGCGCAATTTTATCGCTTACTTCTCCCGCCGGTGTCTAATTAAACGACCGAATTAGCGGCGATTACTGTAATTCTCGGCGATAAAACACCGGTCGCCGTGCCCGATTGGCTACGCAACACCACGCGTCCTTCCGGCTTATTATGCGAGCTGTCTCGTAATTTTCGTTCACGCCCGACAAAGGCCGGGTGTTTTTAAGCACACACACACACATATACACTGTCAGCGATACAAGTACCGTAAAAAATGCCGATGAATTTCACGCCGCGCTTCGTCCCCGGTGACAACTAATTAAATGCTCGAATTGCCTTCAATTCGTCCCATTTCCCGCGTGATAGAGTTCAGCGCTCCGAGTATCGCGCGGGTGCTC